TAAATGAAGAGTGCTATGTTTAATGAAGAAGCTATGTTTAATGTCAAAATCAAAATCTTGGCTGATTTCAATGTGCTGTTGGATGTTGTCCGCCATTGCTTCTGTGGTTAACGTCACGTTGTAATCCAACTGCAGTTGAGTTGGACGGCAATTGTAGTTCAAGATGACCGTTGGATGACGTATACTATCAAACTCACACATGGACCAATAAGGGGTTATCGCTGATTTCCAGCTGACGGCGTCCCGTCCTAAGAAACCAAGCCTTAACTTGTGTTGGAAATTTTTAACGTAAATCAGGTGGAACGTGTTTTTTTATCTTATAAGTCTATTCAAAATAAAAAATGTCCTAATTCATTCCTTATTTTCAAGTTTATGGTAGATTGGCAACAGATAATTATGTATAAAATTCGTTTCTACTCATAAGACATTTTGTAACTTCAAAATGTAGTAAAATAGATTCTTCATGAGTCTCGAGCGATGAAAACTATAGTTTTTATTATAAATGAATATAAGATTTCTATTAAGTTTAGTTCTAAATCTACTTAGCTAATGAAAAAAGAATCCTTATTGAGTCAGTATTCAATTTCTGAAAAAAGGGAGGTAAAAAATTACGGTGAATTTTGACAAAATATTACCTTCCGATTTTACTTTCCAACGAGTTCTTCCGTACTTTTATAGATTTCATATATTGCGACAAGATTGTTTTTAAAGTTCATTTTGTGCTTTTTAGGTACTTTTACTAGTATGAGCTGTGAAATGAATAAAGCAATATAAATCAGTTTTCTTACACTTATTAGAATTTATTGCGAATTCGAATTTTTTTTCTGATAAATCTCATAAATCATATAAAAGTTGATATTAAATAAAATTCTACACCAAAGGATTTTAATAATAACCAAGAAAGATCAGCTACACAACTAGAATGCAACTGAATCTCAACGTTCACATTTACTTGTGGTAAAAATGTGTTATTTTGTTATTCCTTTCCCGATAAATTTTCTACGTTTTTAGCTCCTCTTTGTTATAATCTCTTTGCTAAAAATAAGATTAGTAAAAAAAAAAAAAAAAAATAGCGTGATAAGAATAGATTTTTGCAGGACAATTTATTTGAAAAATTAAGTTAAAAAAATTTATTTAAAAAAAATTAAAAATAAAATTAAAAATAAAAGACTTGTTGCTCAGATTTTCTGAGCAACTGAAAAAAGTAAAGACATATAACACAACTGCTTTTAAGTATCTAATTTTCTCGCAAAAAAATGGTTTACACAGTTTGAATAAAAAAGTGAGTAAATAAAGAAAAGAATTTAAAAAAACAGAAATAAATTGTGATCGCCGCAAGGCAATCACAGATGACAAAATAGTGGTTGTCTAATTTTTTTTGGAAAAGAAACTTAATCGCGTTTTTATCTTGAACATCTTTAACTGTTAATCCTGAACTGCTCGGTATACAATTTCGCAGACATATTTAAATGCAGTTCAAGCACATTATGCGTGAATTCTTTTGATGACTGAATAGACATTGAACAGCCAATATAGATAAATATTAACATTAACATTTTAGGATTGGTACAATAGTGCTGGATGAAGATTGTAATCTGCATCATACACCCGTTTCGGATTCACAAGTTCATACTTGAAATATGATTTAAAAGATCAGTTTTTTTTTCTCAATTTTACATGAATAGCGAATGAATCATTTATATTGTCTACAGTCTTGTCTTGCACAGTCTACAGTCTTGTGCAAGTCATTGGGTAAGTTAATAATGGATCCTTTTATCCCTAACTGGTGATCAACACCGAGTTCTCATATTTGCATGAAAGAGGTTCGGAGAGTCACCATTCGCTCTTCGGAAGGGTTCAGTTCTCTCAACCACTTTGGTACTTTTGTGAGGGATAGGCTTCATGCTTGCGTTTGCGAACGAATCCTTTCGTTTTTCCGTTTGTGTGTTACGCTTAAGCTATTCCCGTCTACGCTCTTTGACTTTGGCTTTTTCAGCCTCGGTAAAGCTTAGGCCTTTGCATCGTTTTTTTTTCCTTGCTTCAACTCCAACTTTTGAGACCGTGTCAATCAGTTTGGATCCTCTTTATTTGTGATATTCACCTGAAGTAGTATTGAAAACGATCCAGTTGGAACTGTAGGTTAGAATTTCTGATTCTTAATTGGGTATAATATAGCCTACGTCACAGGTTGTGTTGTTCCTACTAAATTTAACCCATGAATGGCATTTTCTGCGAGCCTAACTTCAAGCCACAAATAAACAAACGAAGTGTTCGATCGTTTAAATAGCTGCTCGCCAGATTTTATTGCATTATAAAGAAAAGTTATTGACACTAAATACAACTAAATAAACAACAACAACTAAAACAAATAACAACAACTACTAATAACAATAACTAAGTAAACAACTACTAAATTCCATTCGTTTAGCATTGCGTCATATGTTGTTCCTACTAAATCGAAGTAGTTGTGTTTTTTTCATATTATACCCAATTAAAACAATAAAATCAAAAATAACGTTCAAATAAAGAAATTCTCTTTTATTCACAACTCAAGAAGTATTTATGAGATCTCTCTGGTGCCATATCTCAAAAATAAACTCACAAACTTAATGCATAACAAAATTTAAAGTGAAAAAAAGAATTCTAAAAAAATTATCAAACAGCAGTGGTCGCCATAGCAACGCATGCGCACTGTATACTGTTGCTCTTGATTATTGTGGTTGAAAAGTGAGGACTCCGTGAAATCCAAACCAATACACATTTTGCCAATGGGTAAAAAAGAATAAAAAAGACCAACTTTAATACAAGATAATGATTTTGATAGAATTATTTTATTATATAGGATTAGGTCCTCTTTGTTCTCCTGTAAAATGCGATCCAGGATGTGTTGAAGTACCTGGGAACAATGGATGCCCTACATGTCAATGCCAGAGGACGTGTTCGATTCCTAAGTGTGACGTAGGATGTCGCGTCGATTACAATGCTGAACCATGCCCTACGTGTGTTTGTGATCGATACCAAAGGAAGTGTAAGTTCATCAATCGTAATCAAATATTTTTAAAGAGAAAAAAATTCATTCCTTTCTTCGAATTATGACTTTTATACATTAGGGGAGAGTGGGGTCAATTGTAACAGGGTACGATTGTAACAGAGCAAATATTTCGAGTGTCGGGTTCTAGATTTGGTTCCTAGGTGGCGAACAAGGTGTATTTAATAAATCTACATGCACCCCCCTGCTGGCAACCATTTTTATGTACTTTTGAAAGAGTTACATCACGAAAGATATTTTCACGCTACGTAAGTACTTTTTTTGGTATTAGAATATTATATTGTAACAAAGTAATTTTGTTTAAACAAATAAAAATTATTAACCGAATATGTAAGTGGACACCTTAATCAACATTTTGAAAAAAAAAATTAGTTTTGTTAATTAACTAGCATTGTTTTTAACAAATGAAGCTGAAATGGCGTCTTGGGGACAATTGTAACAATAAGTAAAGGGACGATTGTAACAGCTGAAAATAAATAATCTTATGTTTATAAACTATTACTTAACTCTTTAAGAACCATCAATAGTTTCCTATATCATTTATATTATGTTGCATGTGCATTATTTCATTTGTCACCTTTCACAGCATAAATTAAAATTTTTAACCCCTTAAAGTTTAACCCTTTAGGTCTCTGCTCATCATTATTTTGACTCCTAAAATATCATTACTATTTTGATCAATAAAAAAATATATTACAACTATGATAATATGTATAATTAACTATGTTTTAGTTGAATTTATGAACTGTTACAATTGACCCCGTAAGTGGGGACAATTGTAACAAGTGCACGACTGTCAAAAATTGTTAATAACTGATATAATAACATTTAAAATAAGGTATTTATTTTTTTTCTAGTAGAGGATAGTCTACTTTACTCGTCTGTCAATTAATACTAATAATTTATTGGAATTTTTGTCAGTTAAAAATAGTTAAGTAAAAAATGTTACAATTGACCCCACTCTCCCCTACTAAATTAGCAAGTTTTTCGTTTCATTTTTATCCGCTGCAAACCTTCCTTCCTTCCCCCTCCCAAAGCGTGAGAGATAATGTTCCTTCTTTTTTATTTTCTCTTATTTATATTCTATTCGATTTGTTTAATTTAAACTCCATTAACAGTGAAAGTCAGTACAAAATTGTTGCAATTTCTAAGTGAAATAATTGGATCGGCATGGAGAGAAAGATTACGACTGCAATGGAGAACTTTGACTGTTTGTGTCACAAAAAAACAATGTAGAACCTCGACGTTTACTGGTAAAAGACTACATCTGAAAACAGTGAAAAATTTTTACATAGAAATTTCAAACACGTCATCCATCATTTTATTCATAATTTTAGATGCTATTTATATTTTGAACTTCAATCGTCTAGATTCTGATAAACGTATTTTATTTGACTTTAAAAATGAAAACTGTTAAACGGACTACAGTTGCACATTAGTCGTAATACACTAGATGCAGCTTGAAAGCGCTAAGAATTCTGTTATCAATTATGCGGTAAAAAATACAGGATTCCAAGTATTTGCACTTGGTAAAATTTAACTAGTTCCATCTTGATGAATGCAATACTCTTTGTAACATTCAAAAATAATAACAAAACTATTAAATCTAAAATAAAAATTATACGAGTAATGTCTTATTTTACCAATAACTGAATTCATTAGAAGAGCTTTGTTTAAGCATAAAACTACAACAATTCATGTCACGGGAGTTATTTTACATTCTCTATTTTTTTCAGATTCTCCTTTGCTTTCGAATCCTTACAGTGTTTTTGTATCAGATCCTGCTTGCCGTCAAACAAAATGCGGCCCTGGCTGTGAAATGGAACGGGAACCAAGTGGTACAGAGCGCTGCCCCATGTGTCTTTGTAGTGGTAAGACAGGTAAAGAAAATAATTCAGGCATTCATTTGATTATGAAGACATTAGATGCAAGTAAATTGCTGTTAAATTTTAATTCATACTTAGGATATGATAATGAATTTTATTCAGTTTGTCAATAATCGGAGTTATGTTATCTTTTCGGTGTCTATAAGATCTAATAACAATGACTAAATAGAAACTAATGAGGAATCTGCATGTACCAATCGCGTAATCTTGATGATTTTGAATAGTCTATAACACAAAACTCTCAAAAATCAAATCAGTATGTTCAAAATTGACCAGTAATTTTTAAAATCAGAACTCGAAATTAGCTTAAAACGAAACTAACTTCAGGTAACTCAAAAAGAGGTGGGGATTGCTTATGACGTCAGTATATAAAACCTGGGTAAACAGAATTGGCCGAACCTAAACTTGTTATACGGTGTAGTGATGTTGTTACAAAGAAGTTTTATTCTAATTTTTTTTATTGCCAAAATTGAGTTAATTTTTCAGTTTAATGTAGAGAGAGAAGGACATTTGGTTTGAGAATTGATATTTTTTAATCGAAAATATCAGTTTTGCCATTCTAAAGTGTTGTAAGAAATAAGAACAGTTTCGAAATTTTTCACCGAATGGTTTCATCCCAGATAGGAAATGAAAATATGTAAGATTTAGATTTTTAAGTTTTTTACTAGAGATGCAAATATATCTTAATGCCTTCTTTATTTATTTTTAGTTATTTTTTTATTCTTAAAACCGTTTTTCCTGAAAAACTACAAAAAATAAATAATTATTCATTTGTAATAATTCTTCTTATGTGCAATATTGAATTAATTCTATGTAATGAACTAGACACGAAATTTGTATTTTAAAATTTTATACTCTTATTAGCTAAAATATGTTTGCAAGATGCATTTCGCAGTCGTATTTTTCCTAATATATTCTGACCTTAGCAGCCGAGATGTGGAAACTAACTGCGTTTTTGGGGACGTGGCTAATCGATCAATTTTAAATAATTGTTACAAAATAACTAGTTAACCCACTGAAATGAAATTGGTGTCTATCGTCATAAAATGGTCTGAAGTTTTATATTAAAAAATAAAAAAATCCCGCTTAGGTTCCTCGTTTTATTAGTCTTATGTTGTATTTCTTTTGCTAATTGTAGATTAAATATAATTATTGGACAACTCGCTGCTTAATTTTTTCATAAGCAGTTTTTAATAGAATAAAAGGCTCTATAAATAATTGACAGTAATTAAAATTCTATCCGGTTAGCATTAGATTATATAAGAACAGTTAGATTTGACATGCCATTTTACTTAACAACAAGGAGGCTTCGCCCCCTGCTCGTTTGCGCTCGCCAACCCCCGGAACTGCTTTCGCAGTTCATTTCGGATTGCTTCGCAATTCGATGCTCGCTTTGCTCGCTCATTGGATACGTTATTAACGTCTCGCTTTTGTATACTTTTTGAACACTGAAGTTCCGAAAACTTTTCACTGTAGAAAATTCTAAACCTGTGCATTTCAATATTAATTTGAAATTGCAAACAGTTCACATATTTTTCTTAATCACACTATTCTAAATTTCAGTTGTTGAGAAAAGTAACTGTTGTAAATTTTGTTTTAAAGTCTTTCCCACCAGAGGGCTAAAACCATGTGTTGTAAAACAATATGAAATAGTACTGAAAGCCGGATGTAAAGCATCGGCTTCGATGAAGATAATTTTCATAATTCGGTGAGAATTCACCCGATTAGACATATGATATGCTCATTACGTGCTCTTGCGCGCCGAAGCCTATCAATTAAAAATAAAAACTGTTACCAACGCGAGAAAAGAAATATCATCGGTTTTATAGATGCATACGTACGTATTAGCGTTTTATATAATATAGATAATTTTTTGCTATGTTTACATTATGCTTATTAGTTTTATGTTAGGTTCAATTTCCAGTCTAATAATAATTATAATAATGAGATGTATAAAAATGTATAAATGTATTGTAGGCTGCTTTTTATTTCTGCTCTCCCAACGTCCTTATACAACCATTTCTATCTAAATTGCAGTTTAAACACTCGAAAAAGCTGTAAAGCCTTTTTTATCCATGGAAAAGGGATTTTTATATGTCTCAAAACTCTTTAGAGTGATCATAATTTTTTTTGCTAAGGCATAAAGTTTAATACATTGCCCAATTACCCATTGAAAAAAATTTAATGTCTTCGACTGATTCAGTTAATTGACCTAATAAATAAAAAGTTAGATTTAAAATAAAATTGAACTCACAGACTAGGAAATCTCGTCTCGTTTATTTACTGATGAAAGTTTTTTTGATCAATTAAGGCTATTTTTACTTTATTTGCTATTCTTTTAATTCGTCTCTGGCTCTCAATTCTCAAATAAAAAATGCACAGAATTACAGATCTACTGAACAAACAGATTATTCCAGGAAAATATAAATTTAAAAAAATAATTATTGCAAATTCTTAATATTTTCTTTGAGAACGACCAAAAATAGTTTGAATTATGAGGTACAATCAATATCTTTTACATCGCGATTTGATTCAGAAACTTGGAAAAACCAGTCGGAAATGTGGCCGGTGTTAACGTGCGCAATTGCGCTGCCAATGGTTCTGGGTTCGAATACCGCTCAGAGCATGGATATTTCTCTCTGTGTTGTCCTCTGTTGTGTGAATGTGGCCCACCCTATGAATGGGTATCTGTGCTATTGCTCACCTCAGTGATTAAGGTTCAAAGGTGCCCACCAGGTAAAGATAAAGAGCGAAACTTCGAATGGGTAAAAATAAAGAGCAAAATTTAAAAAAATTCGTTTACTTAATTGCAACATAAATAAATAAATAACTTATTAACAAATTGAAATGTTTTAAAAGACTGAATGACTGACAATTTAGAATTAATCAAATGATACTGCACAGCTTAAGAGAGTATAACTTTTGAATTTAAGATTATAAAAATATTCAGAATATTTGTTATGAATTATATTTAGATATTTGTGAGTGGGAGTAAAAAAAATTGGTTACTCACCCTGTTAGCAAGCAATATAAATCAAAATGAGCTTAAATAACATTAAATGGCTGAAACTTTCAACTGGTCAAAAACTTAAGTTTAAGAAAAAAAGACTGATATTTTTTTAAAATTGAATGTACGTTTTTTGGATGAAATTTCTTAAACTTAATTATTTTTTACCTAATTAGTATATTTTAATTGTTTTACATACATACGAAACATTTGATGATTCGGTTAAAAGTTATTCCAGGAACGACACTTTTTGTTTCACTTTCATGCTTATCAAACTTAAAAAAGTCCCGTAGTGGAGTGATCATTAAGACACGGTTCCCAGCAGATCACCGAAGTCAAGCATCACTGGCTGCGGTCAGTATGCGGGTGGGTCACCACTTGGATCAGCCTGCGTAGGGACCGAGGGCGTGCGGTATTGGTCCTCGTTAACTGTTCTACCGTAAAGTGCTCGACTTCGCTTGCAGCTCGTCGGGCTACCAAAGAGGGGGTGCCATCCCCTCTGCAGGGGATCAAAATTGTGATGGCATGTCTTAAGATCATCCTCAGGGATGTTTCCCAGACCGTCGCCAACAGCCGATTGTGCAGCTCTAGTGCGACTTAAATGAACTACAACAAGACTTAAAAAAGATTTTTTTTGGTGGGGAAATGTTGAAAAGAACAAATTTGATAAAATATACTACTCTGTAAATTAACTTTTTTTGCTTGCCCACTTTTATTTTTAATTGAATAGAAATCATTGTATTAAGATTTTGGCGAATGTGGTGCCATAAATATTTTGTTGCTTTTAGGAGAGAAGATTAAGTGTCTCGCAATGCATTGTGAACTGCCTTGTCGTTTTGAAAGGTTCAGCCCTTACGGATGCCCAACTTGTATTTGCCACCCTATCCCCTGTCCACAAATTAAGTGTGGACCTACAACTGTGGAAGAAAAACTTCCTGAAGATAGATGTCCTAAATGTGTGCCAAAAGTCACCTAAGGTAACATTTCTATTTTAAGGTAGTTGAAACTAGATGACAACGTTTGATTTGTAATGCGTAGGTACAAATGTACCCTCGACTGATTGGTTCGCGTACAGTACGCAAAAAATACGCGGATAACAAAGAACTTTTAAGTAAGAAATAAATAATGTATAAGTAAATAGACACAAAATAACTTTTGATCTAATAATTGATTTTAACGTTCGAATACACAAATGAGCTAATTACAGATGATGTTTTAAGTTACAAAACAGGCACAAAAGCGTGCTGAATACCATTTTATTAACGTATCCGGATTTCTAACCCCAATATTAAATGGTAGTGTCAATCTGGGAAATTTGATACCAAAGTTTGGTCAGGAAAGCGATCCAAAGTTTTGACCCAAAAGTTGCGATCCAAAGTTTTACTTTGCGTATTTCACCATGTCATGAAACTTTTTAATGTATGTTTTATATGCTAAATATACCATTTTTTTTCATCAGTTGAAAGATTGTAATTTTAAATAATAAAATACAAAATTTGAGCAAAATCGGTCGAGTAATTCCTGAGAAATCGAAATTTAAAAATACGTCTTTTTCAAAACTAGATTAAAAATATTTTCGACTATTATTAAATAAAATGTAGAAAAAAAATTAACATTTATTAAAAATTATTTTTTACATGAAATTATCTTTGGTTAAACGAATTTTATAATTGTGTGCAAAAAAAATTTCAGAATGTAAAATTAACATTAAAGGGTCCAAACATAGACCGCCATCCTGACAAATTGGGATCATATTTTCCAGATTGCGGTTACCCTCTATACTTCGGGAGTCCGTAATCCAAATGTGTTGAAACAATGGTGTGTTTATACAGAGAAAGTACGATTTTGTGTTTGATTTCGTAACGTAAAATATCGTCTGCACTGATTAATTAGTTCATTTCAGGTCATCCCCCCGAACCATTAAAGAACGTGAAGATCCGATCATTAGATCAAAATTTATTCAGGGTGATCCATTTTTTATTTTGCACACTGTGCAACAACATAAAAAGTGACGGTAAAAGTTTACGTCACTAGTTAATTTAGCCCTGGACGTAAGATGCTGAGTCGTGTGATTTAGTCCTTACAATTCTGAATTTTTTTTTCTTTTGAGTAAATTACAAAGAGTTAACAAGATTTAACTAATTAGAATGAACAAATTATTTTTAAATTCATCAAGAATTTTTTTTGTTGTTAAATTTGAGTTTATTAATTAACAGAAGGTTGATTTATTACATAATTCGTTCATAAAAATTTGCATAAAATTATAATTGAATGTTTTAATTTTCTGATTATAAAATAAATTTTTATTCATGATTAAATCCATATCTGGCGTTTCACTTCGTCTGATTGGCTCGTGTTAAATGTGATTATATATAGTGAATTTTATTATAAAGCTTCATAAATCAAATTTAAGAGATAATGAAAATTATGTAATACTAGTGGGCTACGCCCCCTGCTCGCTAACTCTCGCCAACCCCTGAAAATTGCTACGCAATCTCATAAGGTTTGCTTCGCAAACCAAGCTCGCTTCGCTCGCTACTAACTTAGGTACATTGCAAATACACAAAATTCTAAGAATTCAAAACAATCATTCAAATCCATATAACAACTTTTTTCGTTAAAAAAAATTCAAAAGCGTAACAGCACGACTGAGACTCATTTTTCAATGAATAACTAATAACAATAATAGAACTCTCTCTGGTTATTTCAGTTTCCGTTTTTAGAAGCGCTATATGTTGAGCCACCTCAGCTAGATTTGGCATGTCGCAGTTTTAGGGGCAATCATTGGTCGATTTTCTAGCGTTGCCATTCGGGGAGTTGTAATGAGGCTTTTTTTGTCGCCGTGTAAGAGAAATATATATATATATACTTACTGCTTTGAAATAAATATCTACAAAATTACAAACTGCTCTGTACTAATTAAATCTTACTTTATTAGGTTCATGAGAGAAAAAAACATGTGTAAATTTTGAAATGGAGTTCAGCTTTTTCTATCACATTGAATCATCTGAATGAGCATATTCATTATCATTGAACTATACATGTTATCGAGATACTGACAATTTATTAAAGATCTGCAGCAGGCAATGTTTGTTTTGTGTATTCATCCTCATTTAACTGTTAATAAATACTATTCAATTAATTGCAAGATTTTTGTCTGAATATATTTTTTTATAATTTGACAGTGGATTTTAACTTTTGGAAAAATATATTCATCTGCTCGTATTTTATCAGTTATTAATAAAGTTTATTTTTTTTTGTTTACATTTTTATTTAGAAGTTATCACACATCAACCTACACATTAATCTTATTGATAGCATTGAAGCGTTAACTATATGGTGAAAAAGCATACGAAAATTTAACTAGAATAATTTTATGACTTACTATTTAGAAGATTGCTGGCATACTTTTATGGAAGGTAAACCACTATAAATGGAAGAAAAAAAAATAATTCCAAAAAAACTTAAAAGAAGTAAATACATTATTTCTTAAAAATAGTAAATACATTATTGTAAGGTTATCCTAAAAGCATACAGACATTTTTGCATCGGTGTACACATGGATTCAATCAGTTATAGCAAAGTTTTTCACCACAGCTCAAAACACCATTTTACACACTCACAGCACAATAACTCCAATTTTTTTCTCCGATTTTATTGAAAACTTTACAGCATGCAAATAAGTTTCTGTTGACCAATGTACAAAATAAAAAGAAAGAACAATCATTCCTATATACGGTGTAACCTTTAAATTTCGAGAGGAGGTTAATTAAAGATAAAAAAAGAATAAAAGATCCACATTTTTATTCACAATTTTTTTAATATAAGGTCTTAATTTTTAATACATGGCCTTGGTCTTAATATCATCAATATCAGTATTCAATAATCAGTATAGCGGTCAAAAAGTTACGTCCCCTTGTAATATTTCAATGTAATTTTAAAATGTTAATTTTACTTTTTGCATATTTCGCTACTTCTATGAAACTGTTAATGAGAATTAAAAAAAAAAAAACTTATGCTCCTAATTGTAAACCTTATTTATATGAGTATAATTTTATGCTAGATATAGATTTTAACGTAATTCATTACTTTTTTTTATTATTTATGTTAATAATGGTCGAAAAGTTTTTAAACTTCAAGGCACATTACAATTAAACGAAATCGTTCGAATGATTACTGATTAATAAAATTTCAGAAGTATTTAAGTTTTTAATCTCAAAACTATTCCACTGGAACCTAAAATATAGTCTGCACAATATAGTTGATATATTACACTTTACTTCTTCGAAACAAAATTTGGGAGAATTTAATCAATAATTTAAAAATTTTTTCTTTCTTTCTTTTTTAATTTTACAGATTGTATATATTTTTAATGCATCTATGATTTTTAATTGAAATTATTTTAAATACTTACTATCAAGGCAATTTATTCATAAACATTTCGTTAAAAAATTTAAAAAAAAATAAATAATCTTAAAATTAATTTAAAAAAATGTAAATAATAATCATATTCGATTGCTTTTAAAAATTAATCGTAGCAAATTAGATAAAAAAAAATTATACAACTAATAGTATAAGGGTAGAAAGAAATGAATAATGAATCAATATTATTAATAATGCTCAGTATATATTTTAAATTAAAAAAAATTTAATACAGCAAATAAAGTACTCGAACTTATCGTACGCGAAATTTAATTAAAAGAATATCAAACCTAGAAAAATCAGTTATTTTTTAATACCCATTTTTATATGGTTAATTTATTAATTAGCATACTTCAATAATATTAAGCAGGACATTTAGATAAATTAAAATGATTAAAAAAATTAATGTTTAATTAAAAAAATGAAAATGAAAAAATGCACTTTAAATTCCTTCAATTAAACCTTTCTTTAATTACTTCCATTTTCAATATTAATTTAAAAAAGATAATGGAGAGATATAATATCAAGTCTTTAGTTTTTTAATTATTCTTGCTGATGGATTAACATATCTAACGAAACATAAATTCCAATAAACTACTAAAAAAAAAAAAAAAAACAATNAAAAAACAATTTCATCGTCTCACTTTCCTTAATATATAAAATGGATTTATTTTGATTTCCGATTAGAACAAATAATCTTCTTTATGGGTTTCTGGGCATTTCCTATAAAATTTAAGATCACACTAGTGTGTTCTTTAACGTCGAAGAATTTAAAAGTTATCTTTTATCTATTTTTAATATTTAAAGGTGATCAATATTTAAATTTCGAAAATTTTGATCGAGAGCTGCTGCCACAATAAAGTCTAACCTTAAAGATAAGATTTTTATACATATATTTTAATTTCCAATATTAATTTGTAGTTTTTTGTATTCTATAAAACAGTGGGACAGGTTATGTATTCCACTCTGAACCTATGTGAATAAATCATGGGTTACTGTATTCTACACCAATTGGTTATAATTTATTAAAAAGCAATTTAAAACTTATTATGTGGCAAGGAAATTATAGGCTTTCCAGAGAATACATATGCAAAACAAACTATTGCAACTGTTTATTGTATTGTAGGATATAATTTTCAAAACAAACAGCATGGAACAGCTACGAGAGAACTTCTTTTTTAAATCAAAAAAATGCAAGTAATAAAAAAAACATTACTATCAAATATTTTAAAATTAATGCTCAAATAAATTACCAACTATCTTTATTTTCATCTATCTTTCATAGTTTCATTTATTTTTATACATCTTTCATATATTTTTAATGCATGACTAAAACCTTCTTTAGTATATGCCTTCTTTAGAAACCCATTACAATAACAAGCAAGATATTTATAGTGAACGATATTTTTTCATCGTTTTTCAGTGTCTGAAGGAGTAAAGTTTGGTTTTTCGGTCTAAAGTTAGAATTTATTAAATTTTACTTTTTATATATTTTGCCATATCTTGATAATTTTTTGAGAGAATTAAGAAAATTTTTGCGACACAATTATAAACGCCGTTTATCCTAAGATAATTCCATGCTAAAAAATAACTTTTAGTAAATGTTTATTATGTTATTTTATAATAGTTAAAAAAAATATTGAATTGTAAGACATACAGTTTTTACATAATATTAAAAAACTCAATTTTAAATGGCAAAACACAAAATTTGAGCAAAATCGATTGAAATAATTTTTGAGAAATCGTATTTTAAAAAGTCGGATTTACACTTTTATCTCAAGATTCAAAATGAAACGTATGGAAAACCACTTATCAGTCAGAGCTTTCTTTCAAAATTTACAAACATTGCTTAGATTTTAAACATTTTCAACTTATTCAAATCGGACATTTTTCATTCGTTACCAAATATGTTTCACTACTAAATTATGAAGTAAAAAACTAAAATGTTTTAATGGCAGTCTACTTTGAATGCTTATATATCTTGCTTAAATTTTAGAGATTTTTTTCAAAAAAAATTTTAAATAATAATGTTCCAAAAATTTTGTTTAGTTTTGTTGGATATTTTAAAAGTTATGGCTAAAACAAAAACGCAAAACGACAAAAAAATATTTTATAAAAATGTCCGTATTTCCATAAATTTTAAAGCTAGCCGCACGAACATCAACGCAATATACATATTGATTCTATACAAATGGTGTAACATCAATTCGTCTTGAGCAACAGGTCGTGGGACAATTTATCACACATAATTTGTTATCGCGAAAGTGGTCGTGGGAATAATTCGTGGCAGCGACAATTCATCGTGAGCACAATTCGTCTCAGGCACAATTCGTTGCAGGCACAACTTGTCGTAGTGACGAATCGCCACGTTCAGGATTTCTTGTGTTTTTTTTATGAAATGCAACTATTTACATTGCAATTATTTTTATGAAATGTAACTATTTACATTGCAATTATTTTTTTGAAATGTAACGATTTACATTGCAATTATTTTTTTGAAATGCAACTATTTACATTGCAATTATTTTTATGAAATGCAACTATTTACATTGCAATTACTTTTATGAAATGCAACTATTTACATTGCAATTATTTTTATGAAATACAACTATTTACGAAAACAAAACCTTTGCAATATATTTCATTTTTGCTAACTAATTTTTTTTAAATTTGCGGCCATTCAGATATTACGAAAGGAGCTTAGAAGGGAGGATTTTGTGGTTACTTAGAAGGGGAAGCAGGTAATTAAGCAATACTTGCTTTTTAAAAATAATTGTTATGACTAGTCCTTAGAGTCCAGAGTAATAGTTTCGTGAAAAAAGATAGAGTGGTAGCATAATATTTTTAAATTAGCATTGATCTTGACTAAGCAAAATACAATGAAGCCTCGGTTTTATGTCGTCTGTTTTGTACGTTAGCTCGCTTTCTTCGTCATTTTTTGCTGGTTTGAGAATACATTCAAGTCTGCGGTTATACCAGATTTTACGTATTAAGAAAAATCCATTTTATACGTTTCTCTAACAGATAAAAGTCGTGTCTTCTCTATAAAGTTCGCACAAACTTTTCCGAGTCCTTTGCCTTTTTTTTGAAAAAAAGAGAGACTTGTTTAATAGCTGTTCTAACATTCTTTTTATTCCACTTTATTGTCAGTGAGAGAGGATTTCCCTCTTGAGATGGGATGAGTAAAGCACAAGAAGAAGAAAGAATGGGAGCTTAAATTGTAAAATTTGAGAGTGGAATTTTTTCTATCAAACTCAAACATTTCAACCTTGAAATGATAAAATAATTTAAAGAACGTTATACTGAGGAACTGGTAAGGTAATCATTTTCTTTTTCTTGATTATGATGACTTGCAAGAAGCAAAAATAAACGTTTACGAAGCTAATGAAGGGATTTTATTTATAGACTAGGTCAGGGGTGGCGAACCTTTATACACCAACGTGCCATTTTCTCTAAAAAAATTGCTTAATGAGGTCATAGACGTGCCGACAAATAATTTTGACTTCGTGATTATTGGGAAAAGAATAATACTAATTACCATCAACTCAAAACTCTTTGTTTACATTGAAAAAAAAATACATTTTGCAATGTCTCAGTTATACAAGTAATTCAACTTAAAGTAGCATCATTGTGACTTCTGTTGTTGCAGATTAGATGACCAATAAATTATATTAGGTTGTAAGATGCTAGTTTAAGCAGGACTGTTGATTTTTTGCTAGTTATTTA